AAAAAAAAGTATATTACGCAAGATAATTATGAGATGGATTAAAATAAGCTAGGTTTTTTTTTCTTGGAGGCAGACAAACTTTAATTATTTGAAACAAAATATGATTTTTTAGCTTGTTTTTTGTTAGCTCGACACCATTCACTGAATTAAACATGCAACATGAAAAATAGTTGGTAGATTACAGTATATTACAAACACAGCCTTTGTACCTCAAACATCAGCAGAATCTGAACAAAGCTCTTACCAGATGGAGGAAGACAATCAGTGGGAGGAGAACCGGCAAGTCCGGTCAAGTCCAGCTTCTCCATGAGACGATCCAACACGTGGTCTGGTTTCACAGGTGTACTATGGGAGAATAACAGGATGTCCTGCCTAAAAAGATCAAATATTATAATTCAAATGTAAGAAAAACATTCAGTGCTACATCAAAAAGCATCTACAGTGATCTGAAACACCTGCATGGTGTGATGTTCATCAGGCTCTCTTCACTTGGTGGGAAGAGCGCCATTTCCAACACATCCAGGGACGGATCCTTCAGGAATCTGTAGAGGCTGCTGCTGCTGTCCTGGAAGCCTCCTGTTTTACTGGTCTTCCCCAAAACTTTGGCTCCCACCGCCTCAAACACCTTACAGTCCAGCAGCACCTGGCACAGTCGTGACACCGTGGCTCTGGAGGCCTGGGCATCTCCAAAAACCTTATTCTGGGTCAGATAATCCTGAATAACATCCACTGCATCAGAGCCCAGAAAGCAGTTATCATGAGATTTCAGATGTTGCCTGTGTTTCTTGACCTTCACTTGGGCTTGTAGAGCAGCGATGATGTGGCTCCAGATTTCTTTGTTTTGAACCTTGTTGGTTTGTACATCTTGATGTTTGTTGAGCAATCTATGATCTGGAAAAAAAAGTTTTTTTTTACTGTGCTCTTAAGTGCTTTAAATGAAATGGCACTACCTTAAAACTGTCATAAAACAGATGTTACCAAGGGGTCGGTTGAGGGGACTGTATAATTTCCCTACAATATTTAATGCAGCAACTTTATCCTGAACTGAAGCCATGCATTCGTTTCCTCTCTGCAGATGTGACTCACACTCATCAAGCCTTCTCATTAATCAACAGCAGCTCATTAGCGACCTCTGCATGATTGGCTAACAGTGAACCAGTGGAAATTAGTGCAAAACACAATACCCAAATACAACACTAGATAGCAGCAAAGCATCTTTAAATAAATGAGGCTGCATTTGGATCAGCACACTATGATACTGTCTACTGTATCTTGAGTATGCAGTTTGAATATTGCATACATTATGCAGATTATTTATAATAAAATTTATCAAGCAAATTTATCTAGGCTTACTAAATGTGACAAAATGTGCAGTATACAACTAAAGTCTAATATAGTGGTTACTGTATCCCTCAATGCAACCCCATCTATCTATCTATCTATCTATCTATCTATCTATCTAT